CACACACACACACACACACACACACACACACACACACACACACACACCGGAGCTTGCAAACAGCTTTGACAAGTACACGCAGAGACACAACCGCACACACACACTGAGACACACACTCCCCCTATCGCTCTCGTCGGGACTCTGTGTGCTGTGTTCTGCCGGATCTCAGTGTGAGTCTCAGTGTGTGAGTCTCTCTCTTTTATTTTTTTTTTTCCAGGCGGCCATCTCTGCTCGGCCCTGCCATCTGTTCTCCACGTTGTGGAACACGGCGCTCCCTCTGGCTGCAGGTGTTTTCGCATGGTGGCAAAACTTGTCAATTGGAGTATGAAGGAAAAAGTACTCGGGGCAGAAATGGTCCAGAATGAGGCTCAGACTAGTTTTTTTGGGGACTTTTAAGTCACTCAGTGAGTCATTTTTCCCCAAGTTTTTTACAAGTATAGTGTGTGTGTGCACTTGTATATCTATCTTTATGAGGACCAATTACCTTCAGAGCGAGTACATTTTTGTAACGCGAGGACATTTTGGGCGGTTCTCCGTTCTTCAAAGGCCTGTTTGAGGATTCAGACTTGGTCTTAAGGTACAGGTTAGAAGAAGGTTAAGTTAGGGTAAAGGGCAACTTAATGCATTATGTCAACGAGTGTCCTCACAAAGATTTAAGTACAGGGATGTGTGTGAAAAAGATTTTGTCCAAATTTGTGTTTACCTACATACGGTATATGTGCTCACATCTCCATTGAAACTGTCCAAGGTTTAATGTAGGAAAAAAAAAAGAAGAAAGTGCTGATGGTCGGCTCATTTCTTAGGATATTTTTAATATCTCCGAGGGTGGCAGTTGTAATTAGGGTTCCCATAGTAAGTTCCCATTTTACAAGGCAAGGTGGAAGTGGGAGCGATTTTGTTGTTTGGTTCAGTCTGTATTTGAGTTTTTATATCCCCTCTACGTGCCAATTATCCCATTAACACAGCTGGCCACCTGCTGAGGTTGGACACTAAAAGCAACAGAACTGCACGGGAAAGTTGTCTGGAATGACTCGGGTGACTGAGGGACACGTTTTTGAAAGGAAAATTACGTTTGTGAACCATTTTCAAGAAGTGCCTCAATTATACAGAGACTAAATCTGTATAATCTCATATTCCCTTTGATCTATCCATCCATCCGTCCGTCCTCCACTGCAAAGAGAAGCAGCCTAAATGTCCTTCTCCACGACCTCAAGCTCGTCCTGGGGGACATTAGAATCTCTCCAGTGTGTTCCGCTGCTGGACGTGTCAAGAATACCTCCAAAATTAAATAGCCAGGAAGCATCCTGACCAGACAGCGAAGACATCTCTTTTTCAGCCTGCTTTGTGTCGTGACCTCTTTCTTTGAATCACTAACTGTGGCCGTAATGAGCACAGGTATATTGGTAATTGGGTAAATTGAGGGTTCGGCTTCGTCTTAACCACGACAAGCCGGTAAAACACCTGCGTCCGCCAACACTGCAACAAACCGAACACCTGTTGATGTAACTCGTTCTGCAGAAAAAGCACGGCTTCAGACTTTGAGGTGCTGATGCTCATTTCATGGTCGTCATGAATGCATCCGTGAGATCTAATGAGGTCAACAGAATCATCAATTCAATCAAGGTACAATTTTTATTGCAAGCTAATAAATTAACATGTTATTACCTGGTTTATAATGTGAAAAAATAATGTGACAAACAGTTTGGAACTAAGTGTACCGAGATTAGTAAGCAGGTAATAGTTGAGTACACTGTCAGTGGTCAGCAATGAATTGGCCACTGCCATTAACCCATGTGACTTTTATCTCTTCTTTTAATCTTTACACTATCATATTTTTGTGTCATTGTTTTTGTATACCTGTAAATTAAATACGTTGGTGTATTTATGCTTGCCAAACCAGCTTGCCTTGAATTGGCCCTGAAGCATTTTGAATGAAACTGAAAACTATTTACATTGATGTCAAAGTATTGAACCAAAAGCATGTAAGTAAGGAAACCTACACAGCAGAAAGTAAGAAGACAGAGGAATAATTGTTTTTCTGAGCTAAAGTCAATTCTTTATTTTGATCTGATGCTGTTGGGTTTACTGAACCTGCATGGGAGAACAACACGTGGGAGTTTGGATTCAGAGGAAGAGAGGAATTATGCACGCACACATACACAGGTAGGGACAGATGCATGAACAAGGACATATTCATGCATCCATCTACACACACACACACACACACACACACACACACACACACTGGAGGTCCGCTGTGCCTCCCAGAACTCCCATCTGTTGAACCAGCAGTCCAGGTTGGTCTTAATGAGAAATAATGAGCCTTCACTAAATAACAACAGCTTGGATGGATTTCACCTCCACTTCAGATTTAATCAGAACGGCATGAACACTAGCTCCTTCTGCAAGTCACTAAATCCATTTGTTTCAACTCAAAATAACATTTCATTTCCTTTAACTTCCTTGTTTTGAGGGTACGAACACATTCTTAAGATCACTGACTGTTGACACATTTTTAACATCTTATTGTATCTAATTCTCATCAAACATTAAGTTCCTCACTGCTGGGTATAGAAAATGTCACAAAGAAATGCATTTGAGTACAATGGCTATTGACAAAGGGGATTTTCCCACCATCGTCTTAATGAAGATATACAAATACTTAAGTGCTGACCTCACTTGAGTACTCTTGAGTACAGACCTGCATGAAAAGGAGCTCACAGGGGAAAGAAACTCTGTCCTTCAAAGTTTGACATTTTTCTCAAATAAATCAGAGCAAGAATGGAATTTCTAGGCCTCCAACAGCTGGCATAGCTGTCAGTGAAAAATCTAGCTGTGTGTGTGTGTTGGGTTGGGTTGTACAAAGAGCACCAGGCATCAAGTCAGGGTATCCAATTGGCCTTGCACGATTTCAAGCTGGAAGAAAGAGGAGAAAAGGTTGAGTGAGTGTTTGGAGAAAAAAAAAAAAAAAAAAGAAGTACACAAAAGAAATGCACGCATACACACACACACACACACACACACACACACACACACACACACACACAGTCAGAAAAAAAAAAGAAAAAAAAAGAAAAGAGCCACAAAAATGTATCAAAGTATGAGGTAGACGCACAGGCAGATGGATTTTTTCAGGCAATGTCTGTCAATCAGGATGCTATGGAAGGTGCTGAAACACATGACGTGAACGTGGACACATACATGTACTTACACACACACACACACACACACACGCACACACAAAAATAACAGACCTTGTTGTAGAAGTCAAGAAGCTCCTGGTGGTTAAAATCAACAAAGACATTTTCCTGAACCTGGAGAGAGAGAGAAAGAGAGGCAGAGAGAGGAGGGAGAGGGAGAGAGGGAAGGAGGGAGAGGGAGAGAGAGAGGGAGGGAGAGAGAGAAAGAGAGAGGGGCATATGAGCATTGGAGAGCAAACAACCCAACAAATATGAAAAAATAAGTTCACAGAAGTACGAGAACGACAGCGCAGAGGGTAAAAAAGCGGCATTAAGAGCACACTCGTAAGAGAGTAAATGAGCCAGACTTGTTCAGTGGGCTTTCTTGTGCTTTCTATAAAAACCGTCATTAATTATTGCTGCTCTCTGGCCAGTACGTACTACCCTCGTAAGTCGTATCCATCAGAGTTTAAAAATACCCCCGAGGCAAAGTCACCGTCCACAGACCCATCACTCCTTCACCACTCTGTTTAAAGATGAAGCCAAACAGAGACCGGCTGCATCACGGAGCACGATGAGCAACATATTGTTTCACAATGAACACATGCAGCAACCTTGCAAAAGCATGCAACGTAATATGGAAAATATAAGGTCCACCACGTAACAGTATGGAAGCTATTCTACTGCTTTTTCGCTTCTTCGTGACTAATTGAAAACACACGCAGTGCAGGTCATCTGATGAAGCAGACCGATTCGTTTAGCATGCAAGGAAACACACAAGCTAACGAGTTTCTCATGTGGGCCTCTGCATCCGAGTTGGAGGGAAAAAAGAAAGAAAATATGGTTAAAAAATGTATTGTCCATTATTTTGAAGTATTTAAAGAAAATGGGATGCAGAGAAAACACAGGCCATCTTTGTTTCTATAATTCCTTCTTTCCTTCCTTTAATTGGAGGGCTAGAAAACTCAACTTCATCATCTGAATATAGCCAGCTGCACTTCAAACGAGTAAAAAGAGACAAGAGAAAATAGTGGCAGTTATAAAGTATAAGGTAATATTAATAAAACGTGCTACCAATTACATCTGTTTTCATGCTGTGTCAATTCTTTTCATAACAGTTTCTTGTGTCATTATGTGCTTACTCTTATGTTCACCTGAGAGCCGTTTGCTGTTTCTCTCTCCTCTCTGAAAAGACGGCATCGAGGGAAAAGTGCAAGAAACCAAGAGCAACCATCACCGGGCCGCTATCATCATTACCATCAGCCCATCACAAAACCAAGGGCCAGACAATAATTCCCCCCCCCCCCTTGAATGGGCGTAATGGCGTGACACTTTATCACACCCATCATTGAGAAAAGAGCTGCAATATGTGAAATGCTTTCTGGGTAACACAGAGTGGAGAGGGCAGCTTTGTAGCCGACTGAAGTGCACTCAGTGCCGTCGCGCGAATGTTGATAATAGCGTCGAACTCCTGGCACCAACTAGGAGGGCACAAAGAAAAAGAAATCTGCGCTGAAAGACACTAAAAGCACACGATTGTACAGCTCCTCTCCCTGCAGTTTGGTGCTTAGAGACTAAATAGGGCTTTGGGGCTTGAATCTACATGCAACTGGCTGGCTGGTTGGGGGAGGCCATGTGTCACAGCAAATTAATGACAGAGATATTAATTAGAAGCAACGTTAAAAGTCCATAAAGGAGAGCACGAAGAGCAAAAGGTTGCCTGTCGCCAAAGCCAACGACGCCACGGCACGAGGAGAATGTAGGACAGCCGCAAGGACAGGTGATAAAACAACTTATTAAAGTGTTGTTACCGAGCGAGGCGCAATGCAAAGAGGAGGCGCAGACAAACAGAGCAAACAAAAAAGGAAACGATTTGATTTGAAATACAAATTGGGCGTGCAGTCGAATTAGTTGAATGATGAACACACCCCGTCTGTGCATCCAACAGCACCGATCTGAGTCTCAACTCACACACACACACACACACACACAAACACACACATACACACACACACACACACACACACACACACACACACACACACACACCGTGGCAAACGTATTGTAACGATGGAGAGTCCGGCGCTGCATAATCAGCTATTTGGGTTTTTGACTCGGGTCAGAGCGACAAACACCAGCCGAGTTGGAAGAAGAAACAAAACACTCGTCAGCTAACTGAGCCGTCTCTGTGACTGACTATGAGGTGAGACGGGGGGCAACCGTCAATCCAGTGCTGGGATAATGATGTCGATCAAAACTAAGCTACAACGAAGACAACGAACCAGAGTGTAACACTTCCTGTCTGCTGCACATGTGGTTGACGATGAAAGTGAGATTGACGGTTTGTTCTGACGAGGATTTACAGGTACTGTCGGGTATGTGTGTGTGTGTGTGTGTGTGGGTGTGTGAGGAACAGTGAAACACTGTTTTGTCTTGGGAACATATGCACAAGGGCGCATGTGTGTGTGTGTGTGTGTGTGTGTGTTTGGCCCATCCCATTGTTCCTCAGGGTTGAGATTTTACCAGGCAGTAACCCAACAAGGCTCTGACAGATCTAGGCTAACACTAATGGGGATAGGATGCATCATCCTCATCATCACAGCCCTGTACTAACAGGACGCAGACGCACACACACACACTCAGACACACACACAAACCCGTCTCATCTGCCTCGGTGCCAAAATCCTGTGTGTCAAGATGCAGGAAACAGGATTAACTCATGAAGATAGTCATGAATTCACTTGCATCTGGTGTTCCATATGCAACTACATGTTGGAGCATGTTATTGCAATGTAGGCTACACACTATGGGAGATCCGACACACGAGAGAGAATACACTGACGAAAGGAAAACAGATAAACAAAACTAATTCCTCCAAAACCGATCCTTCGATATGTCGAATGTGCCAAAATGTGGGACCAGGCGTTGTTGTGCCGCAGCTCCGCAAGGTTCGCTGTCCACAAGGTTACTTGTGCAATTCCCCAGAGGATGAGCCAACAAAGTCGCGGAGGGATAATTGTGGAAGAAGCTCCATACGGATTACAGCACAAGCCCTCAGACTCACACTGAGGTTACCGCAATGTTGAGGCCTTTCTGGTTTATTGCAATAACTGGGTATTATTTTTCCTTTATTCTTTATCAGTAATAATAATATCGTCAAGTTAGATTGTGTTATGAAGGGAAACAGAATTTTGAAACAGAATTTTGAACCAACTCTGACTTGATCATAAAGACTTCTGCTTCAACTGTGGCATGCTACACTCCCTGTAATTGTGTAATAATAGTCCGGTAAAAATAACAATCGCTCTCACACAAATTGAGGCAAAATCTACATGCATCGTGACCCTAAAGGAATCCCCTTTGACACACAAAATGTGAAAATCCTGAAATTCAAAGGGGGCCGCCATCCACATGACAGTCATTATTTCATATTTGAAAGGGTCACAATCAGAGACAGACGGCATTTATGTGACTTGCATTTGAAATGAAATTATTGACAAAATGGAATGTGATAAAATACTTTAGAGTGAAGTGATTTTGTGTTTTCAAAATACTCTATATACTTCCTCCATGATTCATAAAACATCAAACAATAAATGCATCTTACAAACACAGTGATTTTGTAAGCCCACACTACTCACAGTAATCTAGTGCATCTTGTTCATCATCAGAATACATTCTCATCACTGATGTATGTATATGTGTTGTTTTTTAGTTTTTACTTTAAGGATAAAAACAATTTAGTTAAAAGGTGTTTTCGGATCATATTTTCAAATATATATGATGATCAAAACTTACCCTTCATACAATTCCCTAGCTCTTTTTTTCCTCTCATTCAGAACATATTGAAGACACAAAATCTGTTTGTCTTTGTTGGAATTTGTGTTAAGCACCACTAATGGGTGGACATATTATATATAATATATATATATTTTGTTTCCAGATCTCAGAAGTTACCGCAACAAACACATTGATACTAGAAACAGAAATGATGGCCAAGACTATAAAAACAAAAGTTGTAATATGATAAACCAGCATTTGCTTTTACATAAATGGGTGCAAAAAAACAACAAAGAAAAGTCTCCTCTGCCAGTGACTCATCCACATGAACGACCTGTAACTGCTGCACGGATGTTAAGAGGAGAGAAGTGAACCAATCAATGTATTCCAATTCCAATGCAAAAATAAATGATTTTTTTTTTTTTAAATGACACGTTCAACAAGCTGTGCTTTTAACCCATCAAGTGGTTCCTGGTGTCAGTGGTGTCGGTTTATATAAGACCACATGTGTAGGGCATGGAGCGCATGGTATTTTCATACCACAAGGAGGCTGGCTGGATGCAGAAAGGCACTCTTCATCAATTATTTGCCTCGGCGCAACGAGGAATAGCTCGGATTTGATATACTTGTCAAAGCAGTGAATCCTTTCGTCGCTGAGTGCTTTACGGGGACTGCTTTTATCCAATGAGAAATTCAAAGAAAGGCAGGAAGGGAGTAAAAGAAGAGAGAGTTAAAGATGACAGGGGAGGAAGATTGACAAAAAGCAGTGAGGGGAGGGGAGGAATAGGTACGAGAGAGATGAGCAGCAAAGTGAAAGATGAGGAGGGGGAGTGAAGAGACACGGGGAGCTTAAGCAAAGGAATGAGGAAAACTGTGATAACCCAAGGGAGCTTTCATTGTAACAAACAAGCAAAAAGCATCTCAGACATCAAACTGTAAAGGATTCACTGACAGAAGGAATTTGTCTTATATCGAGAGATTTAGCTTCAAACCTAATACGACAATAACAACAAAGCTGTCTATAAATTCACAGAGAGAGGAGGAGGAGAAATGGGACACTTCTTTGTCTGCGTGAATATCGTCTTCCAGGTGAAGCGATCTTTAAAAGAAATATGCACGGCAAAGTCCATACCAGACAGACACCAAATGAAGCGAGTCAAGTGTCAATCAGTCTTCTGTGTGCTTCTCAGCTGTTTATGTGCGAGGACGGCACCGCGCGGATCAGCATTTGAGAATTCTAATCACTGTTCTGTTGTGTGCTCGTACAGAAGCCTTACATCTCCTCGCATCTGAAGACTCCGCTGAGCAGAACAGGGTACTTTCATCATCATTAAAGAACATCATTATTGTTTTCT